CCCCGAGCCTTCGAGAATACCTTCCTCTGCTTCTGTTCTTCCCGTTTTCTATTAGAACAGAGGCAGTGGGAGAAGTGCGAGGGGGGAAACTGTTAAAATTGTGTCCCGGATGATTTATGCGCTGCTGGTCATCGGTGTTGGATAACCAGTGGGGCGGAACGCTGGCGAAGCCTCGTCTGGCGATGGCAGGGAGGGGGGAGGGTGAGGGAAGATGGATCTATGCGAGAGTAGTGAGAGGGACGAGGAGGATGGAAGGAAGAGAAGAAAGAGGAATGGGGGGGAAATATAATAGGGGGGATGCAGAAAAGTAAGGAAGACGAAAAGGATGATGAGCAAGTTAAGAAAGACGATAAAAAGAGAACAGAAAGAATGTGATAAAGAGGAGACACGAGTCTGTAATGTGACTGAATAGGTGTAGATTACTTTCCTCAATATTTTTCACTTTAAAAAGTTTCTATTTTGAGCCATTACATAGTCCGAATTAGAGTCAATGCTTTAGGTTACTCTAACGATCTAGTTGTATTGTCCCTTACCAGAGATGATATTGACAAATATACACAATTATACTAAGGATATGATGCCAAGAACAACCTAACCTTTAATGACAGTATGTCACATTGACTATTGACAGCCAACACTAGTATAATTTAGATAAATTCCTGCTAAATATAGAAGCATCCGATATAGTACCTGAAAAGCCAGAACTAATGTCGAAGTTATTGAATGTGTCATCTTGACACCTGGTCGAAAGTGTAGCTATTTTTGCTATCCATTACAGTGTTAAAGTTTTCTTGATTGGATTTCCTGGAGGCCGCACTGCCGACTGGAGTCATCTGCGCTGTGAGAGGTGATGCTGCCTTGGAATCTTGACTCGTTCTGAGTCTAGATTCGACTCATCAGTACTCATCAGTTTAGATCTAGATGAGTACTCTCGTTATGACACCGGCCACATATACACACCTGCCCACTCAGTCAGTAAAATTTACTAAAATTGCACCGATACCCGGAGGATTAGCACCGGCCCCAGATAACCGCGTACTTGAGGCAATAATTCAATCAAATTATATCCTTTTGTTTAAAGTATTAACTCATTGATATCAGAGTATGAGCTCATTTTTAATGTATATCCTCCTGTCACGCTCTCTCTCTAGTTGCAATAGCAACATAATTCTAAACAAATAGAACTTGAGGTTGTGATATATATAATAATCCCCGTGTCGGGGGGGGACAGGAAGCCAGAGTGTATTTATACTCGTTTGGCTATTATCGAGCTTCCCCCCCCCCCTACCCCTCCCAAGGCTGAATTGCAGACCCTACCCAGGATGCAACTCCACAACAAGCTGACTAACTCCTGAGTACCTACTCACTGCTAGGTGAACAGAGGCATTTGGTGAAAAGAAATGTGCTCAATCATTTCTGTGCCGCCCAAGATTCGAACCAGGAATTCTCGGTTGTGAATCGAGAACGAGCCCTACTCTACTACGGGGACCCTCAATATGTTATGGAGTGGGAGTCGTTCTCGCAAATTTAATAAGTCAATATTGACTTATTAAATATGTGCATAGGTGACATACTTAACATAATAGATACCCTTAAAAAGATTCATAGAAAACACCGACCTTACCTAACCTTGTTAGTATCTTAAGATAAGCATCTTATTGCTTCGTAATTACAATCATTACTTAACCTGTACCTATTATAGGTTAGGTAATAATTGTAATTACGAAGCAATAAGATGCTTATCTTAACATACTAAGTAGGTTAGGTAAGGTCGGTGTTTTCTATGAATCTTTTTAAGGGTATCTATTATGTTAAGTATGTCACCTATGCACATATTTAATAAGTCAATATTGACTTATTAAATTTGCGAGAACGGGTTGGGTCAGCTGGTTTAATCCAAGCTGGAAATATGATATCTGGGAGACCTATTGATGGCGTGAGATAGGTTGATGATGGGAAATTGATTGATGCTACGAGATGCATTGTTGAATTCAACCTATTTAAAAAAGGAAATTAATTAAAGATACGTATTGTTTTACAGGTGTGGATTGAGGAAAATGTTTGCAATAAAAACAAATAGAATTGGAAATTAATCAATGAGGCTTAAGAATGATCCTGGGAATGAAAGTGAGTGGATAGCCTGAGATACTCGTTAGTTACGCCTTGTACTAGCAAATACCTGCTAAACTAGGAACGTTGGGAAAATAGTGTATATCCACAGTGGTGTAACCTTGTGTCATTCTTTAGTGGTGTAACCTTATGTCTACTGTGATCTTGGATGATTCAACGTCCCTTCTTGGAACCTTTTTTTGGTCCAATATATCTTTCCTGGAACCCTTCTCTCTCTCTCTCTCTCTCTCTCTCTCTCTCTCTCTCTCTCTCTCTCTCTCTCTCTCTCTCTCTCTCTCTCTCTCTCTCTCTCTCTCTCTCTCTCTCTCTCTCACTCACTCTCACTCTCACTCTCACTCTCACTCTCACTCTCACTCACTCTCACTCTCCCTTCCCCCTCCCCCAATCGTCTCAATTTTTCCGCACTTCGGCTAATCAGTTAGTCTCTTTTTATTCATTATTTTATATGTCCTATTTGCTATCTAGTCTCTACCTCTTCCTGTATTACTTTATTCTTCTTCGTGAATTATTATTGTACTAACGTTATCATAGTGTTAAGTGGCGCTAACTAGCCAATCCAACTGATTAATATGAAGATATGTTCAGATACCTTACGGGTTGGGACTGAAATGGTTGTACGTGTTTCCTACCAACTGATGCCTCTGTTCACCTAGCAGTAAATAGGAATTTAAGAACTATAGTCAGCTTGTTGAGGTGTTGCATCCTGGGAAGAGTCAGAAGTTCGACTTTGGGGAGGGGGGGGGGACCTTCATATAAGCTTAGCATGTATATATACATACTGGCTGCCTGTCCCGCCGACACAATGAATTGAATAAAATTTTGAATTTTGTTAATTGGTGGAAATTTTGTTTGAAAAAATTCTTAGGAATTTACATGTATACATTATACATGTATAATGCACCAGTTTACTACGTGTTATTTGAAGTGTTAATATTATTACCTGATTTTACCTGATTTTACCTGAGGGCCACTAACACTAGTGGCCTAGACGAGAACAGGAAGCCGGCGTCTTGTCCAAAGTCATGACAATACAGGACACTTTCTAGCTAATATTATTAAATAAATCGATAAATAAAACGATAAAATAACTTAGGTAGATAATTATTGTGAAAGTGGACAGCAAATATTTACAATAGTTTATGCTACGACGATTCTTTAAAGGCGCAGCAGTTTTTTAAGAGAAAACGTTCTGAATGGTAAACCAAAATAATTAAAATATATAAAGTTTCCATCTCTTTTTGTACGTATATGTATGGGTATATTACATTAAGGGTAAAAATCCTTCGCCTCTTTTCTATCCTACATTGTGGCTTGTTGATCTTGAAGCTATTGGGCCCCCTTGTGTGGATTACATTGGACCTATTTAAAAAAGGTATTGATTAATATCATTCAGTTTTTTTTTGTTTTTTTAGTATTTTAAAGATCTCGGTGAGATCTGCCATGTCGTATCTGGTTTATGTCCTGCCAGTCCTGATAGTTGACAGTTTATTGTTTGACAATGCTAGTTGATTGATGCTGATCGATGGGTTCGATTGACGGGCACTAGTTGGACGGTACTGGTTGATGGGTTTTGTCTGATGGACATTATAGTTAATGGGTGTTGACTGACTGGTTCTATTTGACAAATATTGGCTGACAGGAATTAGTTGACAGTTGACAGGTAGTGGAGTGCAACGAAGGCATGAGTGGGATAGTTAAGGCGGTAGGAATTGTGATAAAAAAAAAGTATAAAGGGAAAGAGAATGAGGAAGGGGGGAAAGAATCAAGGGAAAGAGAATGAGAAAAGGGAAAGAATAGTGCAAGGGAGAAATAGTAAATGAGGAAATAAATGGAGTAAAAGGTGAAATAGAGACGGAGATGCCTCACATACGCCTGCTTCCTCGACACTTCCCACGCTGTGGACGTTCATGTAAGCAGTTGTTGAACCTTGGACATTAATTCGTGAGGCTGGCAGATATACGTGTGTGTGTGTGTGTGTGTGTGTGTGTGTGTGTGTGTGTGTGTGTGTGTGTGTGTGTTTGTTTGTGTGTGTGTGTGTGTGTATGTGTGTGTGTGAGATGGCAGCACAAAAACATGCCACTTTTCAATACTGGTGTTTAGTAACTCTCAAAACCACTTCATTCGGCAAATCTCAAAGATATGTTTGGGCTTAAAATTTCTATGTCAGTTCCACTATCATCAATTTGGCTATCAACACCTAATGCTTGATTCATAGAGCTCACTAGATCAGGTTAAGTAAAGGACCCAGGCACAGGTACTCCACATACCTATAGTCTCAAGCACTGCATTGCACTATTTAGCATTGCGTTGCACAAGATGGCACTGCAATGCACTTCATTGTACCTGAATGCACTGCAATCCACTTCAATGCACTTTAATGTACTGCAGAGCACAGTGATGTACTATAATGAACTGAGACTCACCACAAAACATTACTTTATAGTGCGATATAATGCCTTTTAACACCGTACTATAATGCAATTTAATGTCCTGAACTGTACATTGTATAATAGTACATTGTAAATGCACTGCAGTGCGCCTTGCTCTATATTCCCTTGAAGAGTCGTTTTCCTCGTTAGGTTTTGGCAGTTGAGTATATCAGTTTAGTGGTAATGTGAACACTCGAGAGGACTGGCCGGATAATAGTCCAGGCCGGATAATGGTCCGGACCGGATAATGGTCCGGGCCGGATAATGGTCCGGGCCGGATAATGGTCCAGCACAAATCGATACATCATGACTTCCTTTCCATTAAGATGTGTGGGTTGGGTATCTCTTGTTATCATTTTTGTTATTAATATTTTTAATCAGTTGACAGGTTTTCTCTGGGCATATGTGCAGTAATATTATTGAGGTATTAATGCAAGTGGCTGTTATTAGATATTTTAATGAGTTATATACACGTATAATAAAGGATTTACATTATAATATATTATTCTAAATTATAAATAATGGGTTACAATCAATAATTAGATAGAATCACCATGGATGACTAGCGGATTGTTTGACTCTTTGGAGTCCTGACAAAATGGTTCTTCGGGGATATTCTTGTCCAAGATGAAGCCTTCCGCATAGGCCTGAATCAGGCCTACCTTAACCTTGAGGTTACCTTGAGGTGCTTCCGGGGCTTAGCGTCCCCGCGGCCCGGTCGTCGACCAGGCCTCCTGGTTGCTGGACTGCCTATGTTGAAGATTGTTTTTATTATGTTGGCAATTATTTGCGACCTGCCTGCAACGCGTTTATAGTGAGCATTCTTCCGTCTTCTACATATCTTCAGATCAATGAAGCCGTCTCGCATCTCCTTGCACGAAGCTGCCACGTGCAAGCTTCGTGTAAGGAAGTTCAAGCTTCCTGAAGCCGTGAATGAAGCAGCAGTCTCATTCACTTGTTGCCATAGAGGGTAGAGAGTCTATAGTGTGGTGCTAGACACAACAGTCCAGTGTCTTGTCACCATATGCAGGCACTTTGTTCCCTCACTTTGTAAAGTAATTAAAGTTAAATTATATGTGGTCGGGAGTATTGATTCAAGGATAAAGTTGTTGTTTAGGACATAAATGCTAATCCCTGGTTGTGGCAGCAAGGATGGATTGAGGGCGTGCAAAGGTAGTCATATGTAGAGATATGATTGATTGATAAAGATTAAGCCACCCAAGAGGTGGCACGGGCATGAATAGCCCGTAAGTGGTGGCCCTTTTGAGCCATTACCAGTATCAAGAGCTGATACTGGAGATCTGTGGAGGCGCGACTGCACCCTGCGTGACGGGAGATGTCTCCCGGACCAAATGGTGACCAAATGGTCATAGAGATATGTGTTTAAGGGGGTTTATATATGTGTCGACAATTACGAGAGAAGTGGATATAGGTGTAGAGAACATGAGGGAGTTAGGGGGTGTTGGATGAGGGGTGTAGAGAACATGTGATCATGTCTTGGTGAGTGTATAGAGCGAAGATGAGTGTGTACTCGTATGTTGTTGTTGTTGAAGATTCGCTACCAGGAACAAAAAGTTCCAAGTAGCACGGGCTATGGTGAGCCCGTAGTACTCGTATGGCTGTGTGTACGGAACAATGCACATTGTAACAAAGAAACTTACACAGGGCAATACAGAGTAGCGTAAAGTTATGGTGTGTAGTACACATGATCTTGTTTTATCCGTCCATTTGTCAGTCTAAACACACACACACACGCTGTCATCTAGGTGTATTCCACAACCTGTTTGATAAAGGGAAAAATATGATAATAATAACTGTGATAAATATGACAAAAAATTAGTAATTCTGACTAATAAACAATGATTACAAAATGGATTTATAAGCAAAGAAAATTTCTTTACTGACAGAACACCGGACTATAATATGCTCTCTCTCTCTCTCTCTCTCTCTCTCTCTCTCTCTCTCTCTCTCTCTCTCTCTCTCTCTCTCCCTCGCAATAAATAAATGTAAAGAAAATAGCTTACCACTTTGGGAAAGAAGGTTTACAGGTAGCCGTCTACCTGGCCCGTGTAGACCTAAATAAAACATAGAAAACGAGGTTCTAATATCAGAGAAAACTATCAATATTTGTTTACATGGGTGACTTAATTATTTAACAAAAATCATTCAAAATGACATATATTTTGAATAATTATTTAAAGGATTATAGCTTAGTTCTTTTTCTATATCTAGTTCAAGATTTACTCACCTCGCGACCATTCAGGGGCTGAGTCGGGCGGAAGTTGTCCATCATTGGCTGACCATCAGGGAAAATCAGCTGTCTGAACTCGTCCAACTATGAGAGAGAGATTATTATTTAACTGTTTTTCTCCTCGATGTTAATGTTTGTTTATATTTCCATTAGTGTAATTATTTTAATGTTAAAATGACGCCTCTTTACTGTTAGAATTATTTGTATATTGATTTTTATTAGTGGTAGAGATGATAGTGGTAAGATATATGGCACCTGAGCACTGGAGACGGTGATTGGTTGCTTGAAGACGGTCCAGATGACAGCTTCGGAGCAGCCTGGTGTAGTGAGGGAGCCGTCGTACCTGTAGAACGCCTCAACGTCGCGTGGAAGGAGGTCTTCTAGGGCAAAGGGGACAATGGTCGCGCTGGAATCTGTGAGGTGGTGGTGGTTGTGTTGTTAGTGGTTGTAATTGTGGTGGTTATCGTTTAGTAAGCCCAACTACGCCTGCATAGTAGCATTCACAGTGGTCGTTACCAGTAATAATAGTATTGTTATCAGCAACAATAGCAGTTGTGGTTACACACAGAGATCACACTAACGTGATGCATCAAATGAACAAATCCACAAGGGCCATGACGAGGATTCGAACCTGCGTCCGGGAGCATTCCAGACACTGTTAAACCACTGTTGTGGTTAGCATTGTGGAAGTCAATATAGTTCTTGTAGGAATAGTCTTGGTAGTAATACAAATCGTGAAATTAAGATCATTAACAATAGTTACCGATGCTTAATGGTTTGAAGAGAATAGTGTCATTGCTATTACTATTGTCATCACTGTTATTAAGAGTACTGCTCCATCTATTGATCACTATTATTGCTGATTATATTACCAGTGACCACAGTATTGTACTTGATTGATGAGCTTTGTTCTGAGGTGGTGATCTATGTCCATTCTGGCATAGAAATGCCAGAATGTTGGGATCTTCTCTTTTCCCCTCTGTCCCTACCTCTTTCCCTCCCTCCCTGCTCTTAATCCCTCCTTCCTTCTCTCCCTCTATTCGTATTTCTCTCACCCTGACCATCCCCCTCCATCTCACTCACCCATTTAACTCATCCAGGCCTGTCCCTCGCTTCCTACTTCCTTTCCTCCTCCTTCCCTTCCCTCCTACTCACCGGGTTCCTTCACACTAGGCAGCCCCTTCACAAGCTTGTCCAGGTTCGGGTTGTCGCTCTGGCTGAGGTCGAGCAGAACGCCTAGCACCACCACTCCGTCAGGATACTTCACAGCCTCGTCCATACCCCCGTACTCCCGCTTGTAGTGGACCAAGTGGAGCTCGCTGGCCCACCTGGAGGACGGGTTGTGGTTAGCGAAGACCACAAGGCGCACCTTTGTGGTTGTGGTTAGCGAAGACTCGCCTTTCAAGCCGATCGAACCAGAATTCGATTCCTGGTAGAAAACGACTGGGTATAAGTTGCAGTAAAGTAAATAGGTACCTAGCAGTAAATAGGTACCTGGGTGTTAGTCAGCTGTCACGGGCTGCTTCCTAGGGGTGGAGGCCTGGTCGAGGACCAGGCCGCGGGGACACTAAAGCCCCGAAATCATCTCAAGATGACCTCAAGAAGAAGTTACCTCACATCTAATTCCTCCTTTTCAACCAGAGATATATAATATTACACCTGGGAGTTAGGTAACTGTTATGGGTAGCACCCTTGCAGAAAGTCAGTCGCTGAGTTATCGAGGGGCCCCCCTCCATAAGCTTTACCTAAATTCAGACCCAGACAATGGGAGATTACGAAAATCCTCCTGAATATAGGAGTTCTACTCATCTGCTTCAGTCTGTCCAATCACCTCAACTAATCTACCGGGTGCCTGGCTTGTCCAATCCACTCACCTCACCCAATCTATGGTGTGCTCGGAGCCTCCGGTGAAGTCGTTGCTGCCCCAATGGAAATGAAATTGCGCGAAAACGTATTCCCCATACAGCCCCCCGCCATCGATGGATGCCTCCAAGTCCGATGACGACACTTGTGCTGTGAGGCCAGGAGAAAGAGAGAGAGAGAATTATCAGGGGAAAGCGCCAAGCCATTACGACTATATAGCACTTGGAAGGAGTCAGGATAAGGATCTGGGATGGGACGGGGGGAAGGAATGGTGCCCAACCCCTTGGACGGTCGGAAATTGAACGCCGACCTCCATGAAGCGAGACCGTCGCTCTACCGTCCAGCCCAAGTGATTCGACTGTGTGGCCAGGAGAATGAGGTAGTTATCTTAATTAGTAACAATATTGACGACAATTCCTACCTAAATGAATTTTACGGGCATTATTCACGTTGTAATATACTGGATGCTAACGTCCCCCTGAGTGGCCGGTCTTGCCTTACCTGAGTGGGCGGTGGTGCCGTACCTGAGTGGCCGGTGTTTGTGATGGTCATGGAGTCTGGTATAGTGGCGTAACCGTGAAATTTGAAAGGAGTAAAGGGCTCGTCTCCCAAAGCCGCCCAGGATTCGATGTTGATGGGAGACTGCCTGCTGCCCCCACACTCAGGGTAATGCTCGGCCCAGTGGCTGGGACCTGGTGATGGTGGGGGAGAAAAACAACGTGGCAGTTACAACATGTCCTCTTACAAAGATCGTCGCATTTCGCTGCTGCTAACTGATAATCATTTTGGTTTAGCTTTATTTTAAGAACGTCAAAGAATAACTTTTGTATGATAACTTTAGTACAAAACTTATTCTAACTTGAGAATAAACATAATGATAAGAATTTGACAGTACCAAATTTACTGGTGCTAAATATACGTCAATTGATTAATACGAGCTGCATAAACACACATACAAATTAGACTAACGTGATATATATATATATATATATATATATATATATATATATATATATATATATATATATATATATATATATATATATATATATATATATATATATATCAAAGAGAAAATCCACCAGAGGGCTGTGAGGTTCCTCACCTCACAGCCCTGGTGGATTTTTTTCATGGGTTGTAAACATGAAAGTTCAAAACGCTGTAGTGGGTCAGGTCTCCCACTGTCAGAGACGGAAAGCCTTGAGACGTTCTCCCTAGACCAAAAACAATCTTTCCCATCAGCTCTTTAAATGTATTCATTAATTTATATCTTGGTGTGGTGTTTTTCTGTGTGTGTTTCAGGAAAAAAATCGGGTATGTCTTGCATGGGTTTGAAGATTGGAAGCTGGGAAGAAATCAGTCTTAGATGTTGACGAATCCACACACTAGAAAATGAAGGGACGACGACGTTTCGGTCCGTCCTGGACCATTCTCAAGTCGATTGTGACTTGATCACAATCGACTTTGATCCAAATTGTCACTTGATTGACAATCGACTTGAAAATGGTCCAGGACGGACCGAAACGTCGTCGTCCCTTCATTGTCTAGTGTGTGAATTGGTCAACATATTTCAGCCACGTTATTGTGACTCCTCGCCTGCACTCTTTGATGTGTTCAGGTAATTTAGTTCTGCGATATCGACAACCTCTCCTCAGGAAGGAGAGCCACTCAATTGAAATTTAAATTGAAATAAGTTTATTGAGGTAAAATACATACAAAAGGATGAGGTAGCTCAAGCTATTCTCACCCCGTTCAGTACAACGTGTTAATACATACATAGACACACATCACAAGCAATAAACGTATTACCGAACATTCTGAGAGATAAACATATACATTTCCTCCTTTACACAAGTAAAGAGCCACTCAAGGGAATAGATTGGAAACGTCTACATAATTGGTGCCATTATCTACTCTCATAATACACGAGTCAGAGCTTTAGCTTTTTATCTTTCAGCTCACGTCTAGCCTTTCCGGTCTGTTCCATTAGCATTTGTATTTCACCCACTCGGCTCATTACAGCGCTTCAGTACAGCTTCCTGACTGTATCATCAAACATCAGTGTAATATGGCAGTCAGTGAAGGGTCTCAGGATCTTCCTGAACTGTATGTAGTCAAGACTTCTTGTAAAGTTTGCTGTCTTTATGATGACTTCCATGATATTATCCATGTTTAATGTTTCACTGCTGAAGACCAACTTGCCCTTAACTATTGTTTGCGACGCGCCATTGTAGCCAGACTCGCAGCTTTTGTCCTATAAACGCCCAATATGACAAGCATTCCCGCCAAACTCGAGTGGTCATCATCTGTTGTTTGTTCTTTATGTTGATATCAATTCTCAAAACGTCCGTTTCCTGCATGCTTCCATAACCACCGCGTTCAGGAACGCATACCCAAGGAAATGACACTAACGTGATATTTCATTCATTTAGATACAAGGAGACTCGAGTAACGTGAGTAGCGTGATAAATAACGCGTTAAATAACGTGATATATTTATGAGAAAATCCATGGAACAGGACTAGGGGGGAGGGGGGGTTCGAACCAAATCAGACCAGGTGCATCCTGTGTAACCCTTTGGAGATTGCAAGTTGCACTGTTTCACTTACATCTGCACTTTACTGTATATTCTATTGCATCTGGTTAAAGTTCTTTACCACATCTTTGAGTCGACTGTTAAGATGTTAAGACTCCTCCGATAATCCACTTAAAACCATTAATAACTGATATCTACTGAACTGACACAAACAACTTGGGGTTTATGTAATGGTAATGGTCTTTCCCTTCCCTTCGCTAGAGGACCTACAAGCACCTCCTTTTGAATGGCCACAACAGAGAAATTTATCAACACGGGTGCAGTATTTTGAACTTGAACTGTTTAAGATCAGAATACTCAATAGTTGGGGTGCTGAAGGTACTGGGGAAGGAGCAAGGGAGCTGCGAGCCTCGTATGGATGGGTGACCGGTTGCTAATGGCCCCTCAAGTTCAAGTACGTTTATTGAGACAAGAAAGAAATACATCTCAAAGGGATAGAGTAGCTTAGGCTATTTCTACCCCTGGGCCGCATGTTTGATACCCCCTTAAGGAGTCAACGCCTAACCTTCCCCAAAATGCAACCTGTAACCCCTGCCACCTAACCTATCTACTGCTTGGTGAACAGAGGCATCATGTGTGGAGAAAAGTTCCCAGCGTCTCGCCCGATCTGTGTTATTTTTTTAATGTGGGACTTTATTAATGCTTGTATTTGAGTATTATGCAAAGTTATACCAACAATAACTTCATTTGCGTTACTTGCATGGTACCGGGTTAATGTATGTAATTTATTTTGTACAGAACGTACAAAATTGACTATTCTATTGAGGAGCAATGTCCACAGTCAAGGAAGTTGTAATGAAAGCAGTAACCTCACAGGAGGCAGCTAGATGCACAAGCCAGCTAATGGAAAGGAAAAGAGCTGTAGTAGTGGTAGGTGTCAAGGAACACCTACGACACGTACTCAGGCGTGTCGGTACGGAGGTGGGAGAAGGTGCTAAGCCTGTCAGACTGTATGTGACACTTGACAACTTACCAGTGTCGCCCTCGTAGCTCCAGTCTGAGGACGTTGGTGCTGGGTACCGCCCCTCTGAGTACCCTGCTGGGAGGAGAGAGAACTGTATCAGTTGTGTAACTCCAGTTCTGTAAGGTCGGGACAAGTTAGTGGTTGAAATCTTCCTAGGAGCTTTCATTGAGCAACTCATATACTTATCTTTCCTTGTGAGTGTGTCTGTGTGTCTGCGTGTCTGTGTCTGTGTCTGTGTGTCTTTCTGTCTGTCTCTGTCTCTGTCCGTGCGTGAGTATGGAGTCACTATGTGTGATTTAGTGACTAGCATGGAACTGGTACGGTATTCCTCGTGTATTTTGGAGTCGAAACAATGTGAACGAAATTCTTACAAGCGTGACAAGGAGTGACAAGGATCTTACCAACAACAACAGCCGCCCCCATCAAGAAGAGCAAGATGGAGAGGGCAGGTGAGAGCTTGTGTTGACTCTGCATACTGAGGGAGTGATGATACCTTGTGGGGTACGTCTTCTCTCTAATATATCTTTCTTAACTATGCCATCCCTCCAGCTCTTCCTTACCCCCACTTCTCCTCCCTGATGTCCCCCTCCCCCCCCCCCCACATCCCCTCCCCAACTCACTCGACATACTTTTCAAGTCCTTGTGACAAGATTCTTCTGTAGTATTGAGGACAAAGAAAAAACTGTATCTTTTTAAATTAGAGATTCATCACAGTTCCCAAGTTCTCAGTCTTCAAGACTATCAGTATGTGAACGACACGTTGGCCCACTTTTTTCAATTGGGTTATATAATTTTAAAACTTTGCTAAGTATTTTAAGATGGTTTAGTTGAGAGGATTCGTGCGGTAGAGGTTCTTTGCTTGTTCTACAGATCGGCGGTTTTTCTTGCCTTGATTGGATAAGTAAAAGGTGAATAGCATATTTCACCCTGGATATAATTCGTGTCTTTACAAGGGCCGTCATTGTTTTGAGTACTCAGGGATTCGCAGAGAGGTTTACCCCCCATTTTTCGGTTTATAAATATATATATATGTATATATATATATATATATATATATATATATATATATATATATATATATATATATATATATATATATATACACATATTTAACAATTAATAAAATAAAATATAGAGTACCACCTCTGGCTGGAAGAAGGGGGACCCATAGCCTAAGAGGAAACCACGCATAACGCATTAGAGGGAATGTTTAGATCCCCTCCAATACTTTTTCTGTGTCTTTCATATATATATATATATATATATATATATATATATATATATATATATATATATATATATATATATATATATATATATGTATGTATATATATGTATGTATATATATATATATATATATATATATATATATATATATATATATATATATATATATATATATATATATATATATATATATATATATATAATATCGAGACTTTCCTTTTGTCCTGGGCAATGTTCAGGGGTAAAGTATACTTGCTGGCTGATCAGTAGGCTATTATAGGAGCATAAATTAGACTCCAGAGGTTGATAGGCCTTAAGCCTTACACTAAGCCACACAGGTTTGACCAAACAGGTGGTGAGGTACTGACAACATTGTAGAGAAACACAAAGAGAAAAGTAGACTTTATTTGTAGTGAATTTTTTTCTCCTGGAAGAGCTTTATTAATCATGACCCTCGATTGATTGATTGATGAAGATTAAGCCACCCAAGAGGTGGCACGGGCATGAATAGCCCGTAAACCTGGCTTTACTCACTCACAATACTCACAAATAACACAAAAGTAGTGTTTTTAACGGGGCAGGAAAAAAGTGAGGGGTGAGGACAGGTGAGGTGACTGTGAGAATAATAAATGATTATCTGTTGACCTTTATTATGTAGTATTATTATGTATATAGTGTACTCACCTAGCAGCAGGTGAGTACACTGTATAGATAATAATAATACATCATGATCAACACATAATAATTTATTATTCTCACTATCACCGTATTCTTCTCAGTCACGGTGTATAGAACCTGCAATGTATCCTATTTATTTTTCTTCTTTGATGACGAATTTAGCCACCCTCAAGGTCATGAAGGCTTTTGTGTGTGTGTGTGTGTGTGTGTGTGTGTGTGTGTGTGTGTGTGTGTGTGTGTGTGTGTGTGTGTGTGTGTGTGTGTGTGTGTGTGTTACAAGCGCTGTTTGATATTATCGACACCAGAGCATCGGAGATTTGGAACGTTTCACCTACGTTCACTTCGCCTTTAGCTTGTATCAACCTTCGCCTTTAGGTGGCAGAGCATTACAGGGTATATAATATACAACCCTGTGTAGTGGTGAGGATGTTCCTGTTGCTTGTGGAGCTTGCCACGACGGGGAGTTGTGATTGTAGTGGAGGCCTCGTCCACCCCACTGGCTTTATTGTTGCTGATGGCTAGATTGATTGTTGTCTGTCCTCCCGGGAGAATGAGGCCCTCGTCGTTCTGGATCTGTTTGAACGTTTCTCTTGATGATCGTACAAAGGTGTTAAACACCTATGTACACCTAAAGAAAAAGTGGTAATGAAAATTAAACATAGAAAAATAAAGTCAATCTTTTTTTGCTTACATAAAGCATAGTCGTAATCATTATAAAACGTAGCTTATTATAGTTTTTAAGTGTTTGTTTGTATGTTTATTTTTTGGGCCGAAGCCTTTGGGTCATAATCTGGCTGTATGTGACATGCTACAGTTTTTTTTTTTTTTCGTATGAACAGTTTTAGAGAAACACGTTCGAGCCATCTTCGTGTACTTCCACGAAACAGTGATCTGTTCAACACGTTCATAACACGTCTGTCACCAGCGGAAGGTCAAATTGTACACACAAGTGTTATGAACATAGATTGGATTAGATTAGGTTGTGCTGGGTTAGCTTAGGTTGGATTAAGCTGGGTTAGGTTGGGTTGATTTTAATACAACAAAATAACTATTAGAAATGACCTGTTTCTGTCCACCTCATACTCCTGTAGCCTCTGTCTATCTTCATCTGTCTTGCTTCTACTCGTAATTTTTGCATCATCAGCAAACATTGAGAGCAATGAATCTATTCCCTCTGGAAGATCGTTTACATATATTAGAAACAGGATGGGTCCATGTACAGAGCCCTGTGAGACTCCGCTGGTGACATTTTGCCACTCTGATGTCTCACCCCTCACAGTTACTCGCTGTTTCCTGTTACTTAGATACTCCCTTATCCACTGGAGCCCCTTACCTTTTACTCCTGTCTGTTTCTCCAACTTTTGTAACAGCCTCTTATGGGAAACTGTGTCAAAGGCTTTCTGGCCGTCTAAGAAAATGCATTCTGCTCTCTCTTTTCGTTCTTGCCTAATTTTTATCGCCTGGTATAGAATTATATTAAGCCTGTCAGGCACGATTTGCCATCCTTAAACCCATGCTGGCGGTGTGTTACAAAGCTCCTTTTCTCCAGATGATCTACGAGCCTTTTCCTCACGATCTTCTCCATCACCTTGCATGGTATACAAGTTAGGGAAACTGACCTGTAGTTCAGTGCCTCTTGGCTGTCACCCTTTTTGTATATTGGGACTACATTAGCTGTCTTCCAGCTTTCTGGTAGGTCTCCTGTTTCCAGTGACCTGTTACACACCAGAGAGAGTGGCACACTTAGTGCTTCTGCACCCCTCTTTGCATACTGTGTACTTCTCTCAAATGGACTGGACGGTTCAGGTCGACGTTCAATCCCCGACCGTCCAAGGGGTTGGGCACCATTCCTTTCCCCCGTCCCATCCCAAATCCTTATCATGACCCCTTGCCAGTGCTATATAGTCGTAATGGCTTGACCCTGAAAATTCCTTCCCCTTCCCTCCCTCTCAGATATTTTTGTTGATCTCTTCTCTCTCTCTCTCTCTCTCTCTCTCTCTCTCTCTCTCTCTCTCTCACCTTGCGACCATTCAATGGTTGCACTGGCCGGAAGTTGTCCACCATTGGCTCTCCATCTGGGAAGTTCAAGGTTCTAAACTGCTTCAGCTGTGGCGAAAATTGCATTAATTGGTATTAATATTTGAGTTATTACCTTCGTTGTTGCTTTATTTTGTTATTTTATTAATTTTCATTGTAATTATTTTGTAATTAATATTTATATTCAGTATTATTTTGACATTAATTAAGAATGTTGTCATATCATATTATTATTAATTATATTATTTGATCTGGTAATAGCACTACTATTCTCAGTCTTTATTAATATTTTATTAAAAAATTTCATTACTTGTTACACAAAGAGGAACGCGATTTGCATAAATCACTTTCGAATGAAGCCTCTAATGCTCGAACTGAAGCTTCTCTGTTCAGTCCCCCGTAGCAGTGCAGGAATGCTAAATATTTACTTGATAACCATTCGTGTTATCTTCTTCTTCTTGAGGTTATCTTGAGATGATTTCGGGGCTTTTTTAGTGTCCCCGCGGCCCGGTCCTCGACCAGGCCTCCACCCCCAGGAAGCAGCCCGTGACAGCTGACTAACACCCAGGTACCTATTTTTTACTGCTAGGTAGCAGGGGCATAGGGTGAAAGAGACTTTTGCCCATTGTTTCTCGCCTGCGCCTGGGATCGAACCCAGGACCACAGGATCACAAGTCCAGTGTGCTGTCCGCTCGGCCGACCGGTTCCCTTAAGTGTTAAGTGTTAAGGGAACATTTATCTGGTCACAAAACACACCTCTTGTGGTGACCAGATTACATACTAGAAAGTGAAGGGACGACGACGTTTCAAAATCGACTTGAGAATGGTTCAGGACGGAGCGAAACGTCGTCGTCCCTTCACCTTCTAGTGTGTGGTCTGGTCAACATACTTCAGCCACGTTATTGCGACTCATCGCCTACGTAAGGTGATGCACATTCCTATGTAGACATACATATTTCTTAGTGCAGTTTACTGTGTTCTATTTTTCCCATTCCTAGGAGAGAGTAGATATTCATTAACCTTTACGTTTGATATATAAATCGACGGGATATATTCCTAGTTAATAACGTCTTAACTTATAACGTATATCCTACTTGACAAACCAGGCTGTAATTCATACGTCAGACTGCGAGCAGCCGCGTCCAACAGCCTAGTTGACCCGACCATCAACCACTAGGCCTGGTCAGAGACCGGGCCTCGGGGATCTTGACCGGAATCAACTCAATGTTATACTCGAACGGTATATTCAGTGCCTGAGTGAGATAGCCATCTTCTGAATCTTTTTTATTTTTGGGGGGTGTATCGTTACCAAGTTACTATCTCCATAGACATATCTGTTCCCAGAGCATCGTTAATATGCGTTGGTGTTGTTATTGCTGTTCGTTGCCAAGAGTAAGATAGTACCTGAGCACTGGAGACGGTGATTGGATGCTTGAAGACGGTCCAGATGACAGCTTCAGCGCAGCCAGGTGTAGTGAGGGAGCCGTCGTACCTGTAGAACTTATCAACGTTGCCTGGAAGGACGTCTTGTAACGCGAAGGTTGCGATGCTGGCGGTGGAACCTGTGTGTGTTGGTAGTTGTAGTGTTGTAGATGTTATCTTGGTAGTGGTAGCGGCTGTTGTGGTTGTATTATTGGTTATCGTAGCAGGGAGGACTTTAGTGGTGATCGTAGTAGCATGAGGAGTATGAAGGGTAGATAGTAGCAGTGTTTGTACTAGAGGAATTGTTGAGAGAAGTACCTGTAATGGTGTCAGTGATGGTTGTAATTGGGATAACTACGTGCTAGCAGTAATGGCAGCAGTAGCCGGTGCTGGTGACGATGTTATCCTATTAGGGATTGCGTTACTAATAACGGTAGCATGAGTATCAGGACTAGGGGGTAATTTAGGTGTATTCAGTGGTTAAGGACGTCAAGAGACAAGTGATTAAAAAACAATAATAATATTATTTTTGTCGCTGACATTCCTTCTCACCACCCCACCCCACCCTTCTCTCTCTCTCTCTCTCTCTCTCTCTCTCTCTCTCTCTCTCTCTCTCTCTCTCTCTCTCTCTCTCTCTCTCTCTCTCTCTCTCTCTCTCTCTCTCTCCCCCTCTCTCTCTCTCTCTCTCTCTCTCTCTCTCTCTCTCCCCCTCTCTCTCTCTCCCCCCCCCCTCTCTCTCTCTCTCTCTCTCTCTCTCTCTCTCTCTCCCCTCCCCCTCTCTCTCTCTCTCTCTCTCTCTCTCTCTTCCCTGACTAATCTCCTCACCTCGTCTGTCTCTCTGATCATCCACCGGATTCTCTCACTTTCTCTCCCCCCCACCCTCACTTACCGAGTTCTCTCACTACCCCTCTCACTCATGGGGGTTCCGTCACTCCCTCACTTACCGAGTTCTCTCACTCCCCCTCTCACTCATGGGGGTTCCGTCACTCTCTCACTCACCGGGTTCCCTCACTCCCTCACTCACCGGGTTCCGTCACGTCAGCCAGTCCGGCCACGACCTTGTCGAGGTTCGTGTTGTCTTGCGTGTGATGTTGGAGCATCACCCCCAACACAGCCAGACCGTCCGGATGGTTAAGGGCCTCCTGTACACTGCCGTACTCACCCTTGAAGTGCACCAGGTGGAGCTCGCTGCTCGACCTGGAGGAGAGGTCGATGGAGGAAATGTGGTTATGGATTGGGGTAGAGGTTGATGGTGGCAGTGGGGGGTTAATGGTGGGAATTGTGATGTTTGTTTACTTTCTATCACCTTGAGGTTACCTTGAGGTTATCTTGAGATGATTTCGAGGCTTTTTAGTGTCCCCGCGGCCCGATCCTCGACCAGGCCTCCACCCCTAGGAAGCAGCCCCTGACAGCTGACTAACACCCAGGTACCTATTTTACTGCTAGGTAACAGGGGCATAGGGTGAAAGAAACTCTGCCCATTGTTTCTCGCCGGAGCCTGGGATCGAACTCAGGACCACAGGATCACAAGTCCAGTGTGCTGTCCGCTCGGCCGACCGGCTCCCCCGATGTGGGCGTTTGTTTAAAACGCTAAACAGCATTTTAGTCTGTCTTCCATGGGTAGGGTTAGAGTTCTTTGACCTTTATATTGCTTAGTGCTAGAGGAATTGTTGAGAGAAGTGCTTGTAATTGTGTCAGTGATGGTCGTAATTGTTGGTGTACACTCGTCTAGAGAAGATGGCTGGCTTTAACAATGGCAATTGGCTGTTTAGGATTGGCGATAATGCCTAGGTTTCATGTGGGTCAATGGTGGTTGGTGTTGACGCTGGAGGTAAACAAATGTCTACGAATGTTAGTGGTAATCTTTTTTTTTCACGTAGGTGGGTACAGGAACAGAAGACTGCTGACTCCTGTTAGCATGCTGAGAGCTTCTCCTTCCCACAGCTCATGGTGAGCCTTACCCACTAGTGTCCCTGGAATACGACCCGCCAATCGTTTAACAACCAGGTACCCAATCATTGGCTGGGTGTACAGAGGCCTACAGTTAAGGATTGGCGCCTAGTCGATCCTCCCCAACCAGGATACGAATCTAAGCCAAATCGCTCGAGAAGTGCTGGGCGCGTATGGAACCACTTTTTATGGCATTTTGCAAACAATAAAATGTAATCTACTCGAGACACTTCTGTTAGTGCGGTTTCGAAACCTTGTGTTGGATACGTCTAAAACTATCTCACTTAATGTCTAATTCTGGTTTATAATTCACATAATAACATTGACGTCAAATCGTCAACTAGAGACCCCAAATAGAAAACGCATTGATGGATATTATACACCCCGTAGCCCGTAGTGATATTATACACCCCGTAGCCCGTAGTGATATAATACACCCCGTAGCCCGTAGTGATATAATACACCCCGTAGCCCGTAGTGATATAATACACCCCGTAGCTCGTAGTGATATTATACACCCCGTAGCTCGTAGTGATATTATACACCCCGTAGCCCGTAGTGATATAATACACCCCGTAGCCCGTAGTGATATTATACACCCCGTAGCTCGTAGTGATATTATACACCCCGTAGCTCGTAGTGATATTATACACCCCGTAGCCCGTAGTGATATAATACACCCCGTAGCCCGTAGTGATATTATACACCCCGTAGCCCGTAGTGATATTATACACCCCGTAGCGATGCAATACATCTTAGTAAAGGACAGCTCTTAGTGAGTCTTCATACATAATACGCATGCTTATAAAAAGTATGTATTTCTCGCCCTCGCAACACGTGTGTGTGTGTGTGTGTGTTCTGCTCCTGTCGACTATACCTACCCCTGCCCGTCAACGAGGTGTTCCGATCCCTCCTCGAGGTCGGCCTTGCCCCAGTGCAGGTGGAACTGGGAGAATATATATTCACCACTCAACTCCCCTCCACTGATGGATGCTACCAGGTCCGGTGACGACACTTGTACTGGAAAAATAATAATTGACTTTTGACTCGTTTGGTCAAGCACGCAAGATACGCCAAAGCCCAACTGGTTCCAACGATGCCGCGTGTGTGTGTGTGTGTGTCACTGTACCTGAGTGGCCGTTGTTGGTGATGGTCATGGTGTCGGGGACATGGTCGTAGTTGTGGAAGCGAAGGCTGGGCCAGGGTTTGTTTCCTAGGGCATCCTTGGAGGTGATGTTGATGGGAGACTGCCTGGAGCCCCCGCACGCCGGGTAGTGGTCGGCCCAGTGCTCGGGACCTGTGGAATGACGTTGCTTTTGTACATTGACACAGCTGTCACGGAAATTTAGCAGGTATCCACTCTGGTGGTTGGTAAACAGTGTCACTCATCACCTGTGAGGTGATGCATCATGTAATTCAACAATCTTTAGTAGTAACGTAATTATCAAAGACATTGGTGGAATGACGCTATTACTTTCCCCTTTGCCCCCTTGTCTCTCTCTCTCTCGCTCTCGCTCTCTCTATCTCTCTCTCTCTCCCCACCCCTCACCCTCCAAGCAGCTCCTGACCTCCCTACACGGTGTCACAAAGTCAGTGTAACAATGAACTGAGCACAACTTACCATGTTCGCCCTGGCTGTAGTCCCAGTCTGAAGAGCCTGTGGGAGGAGAAGAAGAAGGATCTGTAGAGGTAGATCTCGTCACTATAGAAACATAGAGCCTCAGTGGCTTCCATGTGTCAAATTAAACTCGAGTAGAAACTGGTAGCTTCAACTAAATTTAACTTGATCGTTTTTTTATGTTGTATGTTCATTATCTCATTGTATGTGTGTGTACGAATTGTAAATGTAATATGAGAGGTGCGGAGGTGGTGGTGGTGGTGTGATCTTGAGGTGTTGGAACATCAAGACGAAGGAAGAGAGGACCTCACCAGCCACGGCGGCCGCCAGCAGCAGCAGCACCAGCATGAGAGACGAGCGCCTGGGCTGACCCTCCATACTGTGTCAGTGAACCAATGTGAGGATACACCTTACACCACTGAATATATCCCTCTCCCTCCCTCCGTCCCACACTCTCACTCTCTCACTCTCTCTCTCTCTCTCTCTCTCTCTCTCTCTCTCTCTCTCTCTCTCTCTCTCTCTCTCTCTCTCTCTCTCTCTCTATTTATATCCACCTAGTCGGAGTTCTTTCTAGATTCACAGTCTGGAACTCCGGGTTAGAATCCTGGCCGAGACAGAAATGGTTGGGTGCGTTTCCTATCACCTAATGACTCTCTTCACCTAGCAGTAAATTGGCACTCAGGAGTTAATCATTTGGCTTGTTGTCGGGGGAAGGGGGGGGTTACCTCCCGAGGAGGGGTCAGTAACTCGACCTAGAGGGAGGACCTTGATGTATATATATATGCCCTGGCTGCCTGTCCCTTAACAAAATGATTTATTATTATGATGTAAACTACGCTTGAAAGAGTCCAGCGATGCCAGAGTGCTTGCCTAAGAGTGCGTACTTAAGTGTGGCCATGGAGGAGTGACATCTAGCTCCGGGTCCCCGCCTCCTTGCCTAGGAGCTAGGCAAGGAGGCCTTTAACGTTTCCAGGTCCTTGTTGTCTACACTATCGCCGCCTTGTAGAGACCTTCGTGTATACTACTACTAGTAATAATATTAATAATAAGCCATAAACAGCAGGTAAACAACATTATACTATCGCCACCTGAGGCGAGGGAGAGACATCATCATAAAGTTTAATCATTTTATAACCAACAAGATAAGAGTAACCTTCAAATTCCCTTACAAGGCTAATCAACGAGTTTCGTATCATTCATTTAGTTAAAATGTGATAATTTAGAATGATGTTATTTTGTTTAGTCGTGAATTCGGGTTTAATAGAATAGTTGAATTGCTCATCCGCGGCGACACCAGGGGGGGGGGGTCACTCCCGCCCTTTTGGATATCGAAAAGTAAAACTGGAAGGGATAAGGCTCTGTGGCCTAATGGGCTCAACGTGCTCATTCTCAGAGAATGTAATATTCTTAGTATCTTCTATATTTTTTTCAGAAAAATCGTTTCACAAAAAATATAAGAAAAGACCTTAAATACAATTATCGGTTATTGAACATCACCGGAAGAAACGGAAATATCAACAACAATTCAGGGATGAGAAATCTTGCTTCTCCAAACTTGATGGAATCGTATTACTTGACAACATAGCTCGGACAGCTTCGAGAGATGGGTGGGGCAGACAGCTTAGAGAGATGGGTGGGGCAGACAGCTTAGAGAGATGGGTGAGACAGACAGCTTCGAGAGATGGGTGGGGCAGACAGCTTAGAGAGATGGGTGGGGCAGACAGCTTAGAGAGATGGGTGAGACAGACAGCTTCGAGAGATGGGTGGGGCAGACAGCTTAGAGAGATGGGTGAGACAGACAGCTTCGAGAGATGGGTGGGGCAGACAGCTTAGAGAGATGGGTGAGACAGACAGCTTAGAGAGATGGGTGGGGCAGACAGCTTCGAGAGATGGGTGAGACAGACAGCTTAGAGAGATGGGTGAGACAGACAGCTTAGAGAGATGGGTGGGGCAGACAGCTTCGAGAGATGGGTGAGACAGACAGCTTCGAGAGATGGGTGAGGCAGACAGCTTAGAGAGATGGGTGGGGCAGACAGCTTAGAGAGATGGGTGAGACAGACAGCTTAGAGAGATGGGTGAGACAGACAGCTTAGAGAGATGGGTGGGACAGACAGCTTAGAGAGATGGGTGGGACAGACAGCTTAGAGAGATGGGTGAGGCAGACAGCTTAGAGAGATGGGTGGGGCAGACAGCTTAGAGAGATGGGTGGGACAGACAGCTTAGAGAGATGGGTGAGACAGACAGCTTAGAGAGATGGGTGAGACAGACAGCTTAGAGAGATGGGTGAGACAGACAGCTTAGAGAGATGGGTGAGACAGACAGCTTAGAGAGATGGGTGGGACAGACAGCTTCGAGAGATGGGTGAGGCAGACAGCTTAGAGAGATGGGTGAGACAGGCAGCTTAGAGAGATGGGTGAGACAGACAGCTTAGAGAGATGGGTGAGACAGACAGCTTAGAGAGATGGGTGAGACAGACAGCTTAGAGAGATGGGTGAGACAGACAGCTTAGAGAGATGGGTGGGACAGACAGCTTAGAGAGATGGGTGAGACAGACAGTGTAGTTTGTTACGGATGGAGAACCTTAGACCATATAGCTCGCCTGAGACACTAATGCACATGTTGGACACACATGTTGGACACACATGTTGGACACACATGTTGGACAGGGAAGGCGCTCCAGCAGGTAACAAGAGAATACCTAAGCAACAGAAGACAGACATGAAAGACTTTTAAGGAGGTGAGAAAAGCTACCAACCGGGACCCCATAAGAAAACATGGAAATACATGATGTATACAAATAATGATATATGCAAATAAATAGGAGAGATAGAGGAAACAAGGACCTATTTAACATATGGGTGGAACACGAACAGGGAAAGAGATAGATGGAAATTGATTTTTAAAAATGAGCAACGAAGATATTATAAAGAATATTCTTCAATGCCAGAGCAATTAATAAATAATTTAGCAGTCTCCGTGGTGTAGTGGTAAGACACTCGCCTGGCGTTCCGCGAGCGCTATGTCATGGGTTCGTATCCTGGCCGGGGAGGATTTACTGGGCGCAATTCCTTAACTGTAGCCTCTGTTTAACGCAACAGTAAAATGTGTACTTGGATGAAAAAACGATTCTTCGCGGCAGGGGATCGTATTCCAGGGACCATAGGATTAAGGACTTGCCCGAAACGCTACGCGTACTAGTGGCTCTACAAGAATGTAACAACTCTTGTATATATCTCAAAAAAAAAAAAAAAATGTTTTGGGCAAAGAAAGTGTAAAAGGTGGATTGCATGCACGAATTTATATGAAGACGTGACAGAGCATTCTCGTTCCAATAAATATATAAAAGGTTTTAATCATTTATATTGAAAACTAAATGATCATATGCCTTCCAATGGCAAAAAGGCGAAATCTCATCTTTGTTCTCGATGAAAATAATGTGTAAGGATGTGTGCCGTCCTCACTCCACTAGCTTCTTGTTTTAGATTTAGCTAAATCTATAGTGAGCCCGTAAACTCTCCTAGCATTCTATCATCTAAAGCTGAATTTAATACTATTAAAAGGCCAATGTTGGGCTCGTAAGATTGACTGATTTGCTACAGCTCGCTTTCCATTCGTAGGAATTCTTTGTTTACGTCCAACGAGACAGCCAATCACAGGGCGTAATAAGTCGAAAGCCCCGCCCACTGATGACTCCAGAACAATATTCATCACTAAATCTATTTTTATGTAGAGTGCAGTACATGTAATTATGTAACATGGTCGACGCCTGCCTTTATAATTTATAATCTTCATACAGACTCTAATTGCGTTTAGCGTTTTGGGTATATTATTGTGTGGAACACACTCCATAGTTGATGACTTGTGATGTGATTAGTTTTGTCAGGGATATGAAGCATGTGTTGTGCCTAGTTGTGCTTGCGGGGGTTGAGCTCTGCTCTTTCAGCCCGCCTCTGCGCGTAATTACCTAAGTGTAGTTACAGGATGAGAGCTACGCTCGTGGTGTCCCGTCTTTCCAACACTCTTTGTCATATAACGCTTTGGAACTACTAACGGTCTTGGCCTCCACCCCCTTCTCATCTAATTTGTTCCAACCGTCTACCACTCTGTTTGCGAAAGTGAATTTTCTTATATTCCTTCGGCATCTGTGTTTAGCTAGTTTATATCTATGACCTCAAGTGTGTGTATGCGCGCGTGTGCGTGTGCGTGCGTGTGTGTGTGTGTGTGCTATAAAAGAGAATGTCCGTCTGTCCGAAATTGAAGGCCAGACGCCTTTGGCTAGCCTGACCCAAATTTGCAGGGGAAATGGTGTGGGGTTCGGGACGGACATAGGTTGGTCGGAGTAAGCCTAAGTTAAATGCTTTAACACACACACACACACACACACATACACACACATACACACACACACACACACTCAGTAGTTTCAAAGCGTTATATGACAAAGAGTGCTAGGAAGACGGGACACCACGAACGTAGCTCTCATCCTGTAACTACACTTAGGTAATTACACTTAGGTAATTACACACACACACACACACACACACACACAGGATCATACACACACACACACACATACATAAAGAATCATTCAGAACTTTGTATACCACATATGTCAGGCCAATTCTGGAGTATGCAGCCCCAGCATGGTGTCCATATCTAGTCAAGGATAAGACTAAACTGGAAAAGGTTCAAAGATTTGCCACCAGACTAGTACCCGAGCTGAGAGGTATGAGCTACGAGGAGAGACTGCGGGAATTGAACCTCGCTTCGCTGGAAGACAGAAGAGTTAGGGGGGACATGATCACTACATTCAAGATTCTCAAGGGAATTGATAGGGGTTAACTTGAGGTTACCTTGAGGTGCTTCCGGGGCTTAGCGTCCCCGCGGCCCGGTCGTCGACCAGGCCTCCTGGTTGCCGGACTGATCAACCAGGCTGTTGGACGCGGCTGCTCGCAGCCTGACGTATGAGTCACAGCCTGGTTGATCAGGTATCCTTTGGAGGTGCTTATCCAGTTCTCTCTTGAACACTGTGAGGGTAGATAAAGACAGGCTATTTAACACAAGGGGCACACGCACAAGGGGACACAGGTGGAAACTGAGCGCCCAAATGAGCCACAGAGATATTAGAAAGAACTTTTTTAGTGTCAGAGTGGTTGACAAATGGAATGCATTAGGAAGTGATGTGGTGGAGGCTAACTCCATACACAGTTTCAAGTGTAGATATGATAGAGCCCAATAGGCTCAGGAATCTGTACACCTGTTGATTGACGGTTGAGAGGCGGGACCAAAGAGCCAGAGCTCAACCCCCGCAAACACAACTAGGTGAGTACTAGGTGAGTACATACACACACATACACACACACATACACACACATACACACACACACATACACACACACACACACATAGGCTCAGGAACTTGTACACCTGTTGA